ACTTATTTTCATTCCTAATAATGCTTTCTATGCAATACTACTGATTACTCTGCAGCCATGTGGGATTCAGACAGCCACAGAAGTAGGACAGGATGGAGAGGTAAACACAGCACAAAGGAAAAGAAAATTGAAAGGAAAAGATGGAAGATGGGTAAGGAAAAGTTATTAGAGGACTGGAAAATCCAAAAGGAACAAAACTTGCTGGGAAATGGGAAGTATCTTGCCATGGTGAAGATAGTGCTGGTTTGTACAAGCTATAAGTTGTTTCCATCAGTGTCTGAAGATATCAGGACAGATTAGTAAAAAAAAGATCAGTATGGGATCAGTATACTGAAGTGAGAGTACACAGTAGCTGACTATCTCTGCTCCCCCCCCCCCCACTGGTTACTACCATTACAGGAACATTACATGGTGTAGAATCTTTCAAGCTGCACACATGACAGAGTAAAGTGTTAAGAGGAACCACTGATAATCATGGGGAATATCCCCCTACCCACAATCTCCCCACAGCCCACTTCAGCAATGTGTCAGGGTTTGTTGGGTTTTTTTAATAATTTGAGAGAGAGTGAGTTTGCAATTTTAATTTCAAAAGTGCACAACTCTTTTCCAGCATTCATAGCACTTTCGTAAGAAACCAGCATGCTGGACAGCCACAAGCAACACTGTAACTTCTGCCATAGTCATTATTTCACATCCAAACAAATAGCACCAATTTGGAGGAAGAAAAATCATTGCATGAATCAGCAACAGCAATTTTTGAATCCCTGTGATAACAAGGACTGCAAGGGTACTTTTCTGTTTTGTTTTCATAGGGAGAGATCTGCTTTCCCATTTGGTCGGATCTGCCAAGACTACAAGTCTCACAGTTCCCTGTAAATAGGGGGAAAGGCCATTCAGCAGGAGGGACAAGGCACAATCATAATCGGGGCAGAAGCTGATAGAGCATTGTTGGCTGGGGAATGCTGAAAGCTCTAGGAGATTTTCTATTTAAAGACACATAGGAGTGCACCCTCAGTTCACATGAATCCTACAGATCTGAACATTTAACTTGTGAAACATTGTACTTGCAAAAACAAATTAAACAAAATGAACTCAAGTTGTTTTTTGGAAACAGTATGAATGTATTGTACTAAATGAGGTTTAAAACACTGATATATAATTGTAACTAAGTGTGCACAGGTCCATGGATGTTTTGCACACTGTCAATAATGGCCTGAGAGAATGAAATATGTTCTAGTAAGCTGGCATTCATTAAGGTTGAAGTCATATTAATATGGCTGCAAAAATGTTTGGGCCCAGGTGATGAAAGCTTTCCTAGATATCACATGTACCACTAACACAGATATCACAAATTTCCTGGATATCACATGTACCACCTCCAAGTATAGAAAGAGATGCTTGAACATGCCAAGGCTCAAATTCCAGAAATTAGAGGAATGTCCTATCTGTTCTCAAAGAATATACAGTGGTACAGATAATGGAATATTTATGTTAGTCACAAGCCATTGCAGAGTGGTCCAAAGGCTCTCCACGTAATACAAAATAACTGTAGCTAAATGTTTTTAACTGTTGGCAGCTTTAATAGGTACATCATCAACATTTAGTGCAATTCCCAGGAAGCCTACTATTTCTTCAGAAACAGGTTCTTAGGATATCAGGCCAATAATACAATATCCACTGCTTCCCTGAAATGCAATTACGAATCCTAAATCCTGAATCAAACTACTACCACTATCTTCACCTCATAACTGAGGAATCTTGTGTTTCCAGATAATTGGGTCTGCTTTATTGGAAACATTAAATACATGATATCCAAGTAACATTCTCTGTTCAACTAGGATAAATCTTCACCAGTCACAGGTTGCCAAGTTGCATTAGCATCCAGATTACTGTGGTATTATTAGAATCTTCTCCTGCAATTATGATGCATGGCTGATTTTTCTGTGTACACAGATGTGAAAGGGACCTATGAAGTTAGCATATACTTTATATCCATCTATATTCAAATCAGGTGAACAGGAACAGCAATATTAAATATTATCTATGAGCTTATATAGGGCAAAAAGTAGATTTTGATAATTGTCTTACCTGTTCAGAAGAAATAATTTTGAAATATCTCTCCCTGACCCCAATGGAAGAAAAATGGGGGTCCTTGTTTACCAACCTGACAATATCTAATTGCTTTTCCCTAATTCACTAATTGTTACATGTTAGCAGCAATTACTACTGAAACTAGTAAAATCTTCTGTCTTTAAATAAATTACTCTAAGCCATTTATCTAGATAAGAAAATGCAACACCTCCAATGTTTCAACAACTTTTCTTCCTAAGGTTTCCCCTATTCCTTGGCATCACACTGGTAACAAATCCATCAGATCGATCTCTCTCTCTCTCTCTCTCTCTCTCTCTCTCTCTCTCTCTCTCTCTGTGTGTTAGATTTATATCCTCTGAAAGCAGTAACACATACTATAAATTCAGTATTTATATTCTTAAGAAGCTTTATATCTTAAATAGAATGACATTTAAAGGCCGAGATTTCCTCCAGTACATTGAGTATTTTCAGGAATATAATGGATCCCAATCCATAAAACTTCTTATATTCATAAGAACTGTACTTATTCAGTTCAGTTCATGAATACACTAAGGCTGGATATTTGGAATGGAGCCATTTTACTCTCACTGAAGATAAGCCATTTGAGCCATGGTGTTTAACTTGAAACAATTTAGGCCCATTGAAGTCAATACAATTAAAATGGCTAAAATCCAAGTGCAAGCCATAATTATTTCATGGATCACAGGCATAGCACATTAATTTAATTATGCTACCCTTACTTTCTATTTTTAGAGGAAATCATATTTTATATTCTTACTTACAGGGATGCAATTTAAATAATAATATATTTTTAAAAACTCATTAAATCAGAGTTTTAAAACAGGATGATCAACCAGGATTCAATTAATAATCAGTTTTGACCCTAAAAACTCCTTATAGTTTTTTGGAGGTAACATCCTGGGAAACAAAGAAAATGACTGAATGAAATTAATTTGATTTCTAGTCTGGTTTTATGTTAATCATCAAATCTGAAGCTTACACCAATTAAGAAATGAACTCAGTGAATTAAACAAATGCATATCAAACAACCCTTGCATCTTAGATGTTATCATGTAACAAAGTACACTATCGTTTCAGATAAACTGTAAAATATTATTTTGTCAAGTTTATTATTTAAGTTTATTTAGTATCCTAACTTTGCCATGGCAATCAATCAAACTTACCACCTATTGTTTGTTTAAATATCATCAAAATATCCATGAAAATAAGAATGCCACTACTGAAGGTTGTGAACAGATTATTTTAACTGTAATCCCTCCCCAGCACTTGTAAAGAACAAAGTAGCTCTATAATTTCAGAATGTGAATTCGCTGAGCACTGATAGATCCAAAATCATACATATATGATGAACTGGGCCACACAAAACTTATATCCATATTTTCAGATTAAAGAACTTCAACAGATTCGAAGTTGCATACACTCAGTGGAGAAAAGCAAAATTATTAAACTGAGCAAAAGAAAGCAAAAGAAAAATTAATGTGCTGAAGCAATCAATTGGTCTTTCAAAATTAGCAAGCCTATTAGGCTTTGACTTAGGGTTGCAGTCAAATAACAGCTGAAACTGAAGCGGGAAGTGTGTATCTGTGCACACGTGTGCAAGTTGGGACGAAGAGAGACAAACACTGAAAATACCATGGCAAAACATGATGGAGTAATCTGAAAGCATAGGATTTTATAATACCAGGAAGAATGAAGGCAAAACATTAATACAGAGAATGGATGCAATATTTTATATTTAGCTGGGTGGGCAGGCAATGAAATCCCCTTTGCACTGTCTTATTTGATAGTTAGTAGGGAAGTTGAATTCTGATGAAATAGCACTGAAGTCTCAGCACTTTTTTAATGGGCTCAAGTGTGAGTCATTTTTCAAAGGAAATCGAGAGTTATCTTTTTTTACAGAAGAATCCATTTTTGTTTTTCTCTGTACAGCCAAAATCAAAACATGCCATTTTTGCTGTCATCTATTTATAACAGGAGCCCTACTTTATTTTATTTTAATTGCAATGTGAATGTTTGTTAGTAATACTTCATCAGCAGGCTTATGCTGCTGACTGCACCACTGGTGTCTTAGTTGGAATAGAGCAGCTCATTTGAGACATAAAAATGATTTCAAAGTGAAATATTTTCATCTTCTCTCTACATCAGCATTTTTACAAGCTGCAGGCAACACACTGCATCTGCAGTGAATCATACAGAATGACATTTTTAATGAAGAGAGGGACAGCAGAAATATAAAGCCTAACACAACAGTTCCATTTTAAAATCAACACTAGCACTTCGCTTCCCCCTCCACATTCATTTTCATGCAGGAGTGGTCACATTGGCTAGGATTAAAATTAATATGTAGGGTATTATTTGAGCAATAGAACGCAAGTAACGCTGGCTGTGAACAAACAGCTCCTGGTGCTCAAAGGAAGGACAGAAAGGTTCCTGGGAAACATTATCACTCTGAACATAAGAATACATGCAGGAAAAGCATTTCCCTTTACCAATACAATCTCTGTTTTAGGTATGTAGATTCTGGCACAGAAAGATACAGCAGTGTTCCAATATGTCATCTCAATATCATGGCTTGGTTGACCACTGGTATAAAACTGACACAACCATCCTACCAAAATGGATGCAGATGACCTGATATTTCTTCATTTCATTATATGACTGACATAACAGAAAGGCTTTACACACTAACACAGGTTGTCCAGCAGGGGCATCAATTTTTTCATGTAATACTGTGTGCAAAATTTCAAGCACAATCCTTGTGTTAAAGCACTACTTGGATGTTGCACATATAATATCTGATAAACAGCTTAACAGCGTGATCAATAAAGCACTTGATGACCCATTCCATGTTGGGTGGATATTGAGTTAAATGGTCTTTTGACTCTTACCATCGACGCAGGCTGGCCTTGCTCTTGTTGTACCGGCAATCTGTCCCTTTTTACATGCACAACGAGCTGTTTGTCGGGCTATAGTTCTTCGGGGCTGACTGCTATCTCTGTCCAAAGTAACAATCTCACATGTACCTGCAGCCAACTGACCTGGAAAAAGAACCAGCAACAGGTACCATAGTCACTGAATGTACTAAAGACAATCTGTTACAGCCAGAAAAAGAAAAAAGACATGACCCAAAGTCAGAAACACTTTAAAACAAAAGGAAAATCAACTGATAGATATAGTAGGAAAGAGGTGACATCCTGTTTCCTTTTTTTGGAAAAGTGAACACTTTAAGAACTGGTACCTTCAGAAAACTTATCTTTTATGTAAAGGATTTCATGAAAAAAGCTGATTTCTGTGCAAAGAACAATATACTTTTGCAGTTATTAAATTAAGAACCATACAAGTGTTGAATAAAGATAAAACAGATAATTTATAAAGAACTAGGAATTACAGCTTCCATTTCTACCATTTTTGTGTAATACAGTGTCAAAATAATACATTGCAGATCATTAAAACCTGTAGAATACCTTTACTGAAAGGTGATTTCTGCTATAAAATATTGAAACATATGAATTGCTTTAATCAATTTCTCATGGAAATTGGTGAGGTACTATTAAATCCCATTTTCAACTTAGAAATGCCTTCCATATTTTCATCTTTCTTTTCCAATGCTGCTACTATTGTTTGGCTAGGAAGTAATCTGATTACAGTTCTGAAAAATGTTTTAAAGAAATTTCAGATTCCAGTAGAGAATATTAATGTTTAATTATGGTTGTTTTGTTTTTAACAAAACCCAGTTCCAGGTTTTCCTCATTTAAGGCAACTTTTGGACTGGCAGGAAGAGATGCTGTTTGAGCGTTTCTACTAAGTTACTTATCAGTTACATAATAATATTTTAAAGTAAGGTTTATAAAATCACTTTTTGCAAAGTAAATGGTTATGTGTCTGCTTTGTGGAAAATAGTAGATATTACAGCGGTTCGCTTTCATAACTATATATAATGTTAACATGATGTATGTGAGCAAGAACAGGCAGAATGTAATCAGTTCTCAGACAATCTGAGACTTGAAACAAATGCAGATGTTAAAGAATTCTACAGTTAAACTAATATCTGCAGTAGATATTATATGGCACTAAAAGTTTAGACATGTGTATAACAACTTGCAAGAGCATATAGCAGCCCATGACATTTACAGAACTGAATCCTACAAAACTGAAACAATGATTTCACAGTAAATACATTCAGGGTGCAAGCCTATGCATGTTTGTACATGTATTTATATGCAGCCTGTAACTGCAGAGGCTTTCCTAGGTGCCTTACAGTACACAAAACATGTTACACAAAGTAAAACACATTAAAATCGATTAAATCACAACAAATGAAAACATCTATGAAAACGGGCCACAGCATTCAGTCTAAGTATTAAAAGATTTCCTAAAAAGGTATGTCTTTATACAGGAAAATATCCTATAACACCCAGGAATGCTTAAGGGCCTTTTTTCTACCTAAACCTAGACAGGATTGTTCCTTAAGACAAATTCAAATTCAGTAAGGTAATCTGAAAATTATCACACTGGTATTTCTGTTAACAATTACTTCTCTATACATTATAGTTCATGCTTCTCATCATATTACAGTGGTACCTTGGCTCATGAACTTAATCCATCCCAGGACTCTGGTTGTGACCCAGATTGGTTGTGAGCCAAGTTAAATTTCCCCATAAGGTTCAATGTAAATAAGGTTAATCCGTTCGTAACTATTTTTTTAATTGGAAAAATGTGAAGCAAAGTGACAAAGAACAACAAAGATTGCAGCGATCTTCCACCCCCCGCCCCAGCACAACCGCGATTGTACCCATTGTTCCTACACGCACCTGGCATCCCGGCACGCTGGGGGGGGGGGGGGGGAGGGGGCAAAAATTGGGGGGGGGGGGGGAATGGCCGAGATCGTGGTTGCACTGGTGCAGGAAAGATGGGTACAATCATGGGTGCGCTTGTGCAGGAAAGAGGGACGTGATCTCGGCCATCTCCCTCCCTACCCCCAGCACAATCGTGGCCGTCTCCCCACTGGGGGGGCGGGAGACGGCCACGATTACGGTCGCCACCCAATGCGGAGTTTGCCACCTGAGTCAAAATTTTTATTAAATGTTTGTTCGTGAACTGATTTGGTCGTGAACTGAGGCGTTCATGAGCCAAGGTACCATTGTACTTATTTTGTGGCAAATTGTGGGCAAAAACAAAATGTAACACAATGAGGTAGACTTTCTGAACTAAATGACTTTATGTGATTTCAATTAAAGCAAGAATATTTATTTATTTATCTTTCAATTTACATCCTGCTCAAGGCAGCTCACATCTCCTCCTCCATCTTATTCCCACAACAACAACCCTGTGAGGTAGGTTGGGCCGAGAGTCTGTGACTGGCCCAAAGTCACCCAGTTGGCTCCATGGCCGAGCAGGGACTAGAACCAAGATCGTCTGAGTCCCAGTCCCATGCTCTAAAGCACTACACCACACTGGCATCTCTTGCAGTAATGTGAGCACGACTGGGATAATGATAATCATTTTCTAATATAATCTGAATTTTGGGCAAAAAAGTAAAGTTAAAGGCATAGATGTAACTTTCTAGACAATAGAAGGAAAGAAACAAAAAAGAGGTGGTGGTGGTATAATTATTATTATTTCTATACCACCCAACTGCTGAAGATTTCTGGACAGTTACCTACAAGCATTATATAAAAAATTATTTGGAAAATATATACTGGGTAAAGTTGCCTGGCAATGACCACTGGGAGTGATATCTATCCCTTCTATTGCATGTGCATATGCAGGTCTCCCATCTGATAACTACAGACTGATTTTTCACTTCAAGAACTGGGAGTAAGAGGAATCCCTTAAACAGACAAAAAGAGAATGGCCAACTAGAAATCAGGAAGATTTCACTCACCTAAAATGGTATGACGACTAAGCATGTGTAATGCTGAACACATAAAGCTGGCATTAATTACACTAGAATTTGTGCAGGTAGACATGAGAAGGCTCTATGACATTTGAATGTGCAAGACCAGCTGCCCATTAGCAGGTAGATGGCTCACTGGAATTCTTCCAGAAGAAGGGGCAGAGTACAACGGCAGTCCAGATGAAAATGGCAGAGTGTGAATCCACTGTAACAGCCACAATGGATGGGTGGGTGAATATGGTAGAACTGGATCCCCTTCGAAATGAAATCTATTTTTCATGCTTCTTTGTTCAGTGAGAATCAAACAATTTGATAACATACAAAGCATATAATCATGTATCAGTTGCACATCAGTATGGAGATGGCTTAGTGCCTTACGCTTTATACTCCACTTCATTTTGAGATACTTCGGATACAAAAAATGCCTCAAAGGCACAAGATATTCTCAAATCATTCCACAATTGCCTGGGTTCAGGTTTCCACATGAATATAGCACACTGGGGGCAATACTGTATTATATCTCTGAATTGGAGCTATTTTGACTATTGGTAAGTTATCAAGCTGTGCAAAACAAGCTATTTTGCTTTTGGCTAACCTTCAGTGTTTTCTTTTCCAAAACAGTGTTAGAAAAAAATGCTGGTTTTAGGAACTTGGAAAGTTATCTGTGCCACTCAAATTATTGGTTTAACAGAGAAGAAAAAATAATAAATAATAGCATTTCCTAAGCTGTGCTTCAGCATTCTCGGAAAGTCCCTAGTGACTTTGAGGTACTCCCAGAGACCACAGTGAAAATAATTAGCACTGAAGAGTTGGACAGGAGCCTCCCCTACATGATGAAGAAGCAATCCTTTTCATATTTACTTTTCAAGAGTACTGAACAGCCGTTTATCTCTTCAAATAGTCAAAGTGACTATGGATAATTGAAAGAATTGAGAGGCAGTAAATGGAGCCAAATTAATAAAAAGTCAAACAGAAGCATTTGGACAAAGCATTAGGCAGTCTCTTGTAGGAAAGCTAGTTCCTTCCAGGTACAGACATATAAAAAAATCTGTTTAGGGCTGAAAAATATGATGGATTTTTCCAGATCAACTCTGCAAATTTAATTTCATTTCCCTGCATCCCCACTGGCATTGATTTGATTTGTAGTAAATAAAGCCACTGCACAGATTCTTTGTTGTTTTTAATGCTGACAATATGCACAATATTTGTGGAGAAGGATCTTGAAATGTGCACAAAAGGTGCCATAATTTTTAAGCATTTTTTTCTATTGGCAATCTTGTGAAAATTTACATGATCACCAGTCCACCTTTCCAATACATATGCTTGCAGACACATCTTGTTGGCTTCATCTTCTCTGAATATTCCTTTGCTTAGCCCAGCAAAACCATGTTTCACACATGTCAAAGAACTTGTCAATATCATCTTCCACTTGTAATGCTGAGGGGAGTGGGAAATGACAAAGGCACATGAATAGTGTAGGCTAATTATAATTTGCACAAAATGCAATTTGTATGAATGGCAGAACCAGATTTTTTTGCTTTCTTCCTGGTGCGCAGATTCTGCCATTGAGTACCAGGATGGAAACACTTCAAGTAAATTGCTGGTTTTAACCTATAATACCCTATACCACTTGGGATCTCAAATATCCATCAGAGCACTTCTCCCAACTGCAAACTATCCAGACATTATGTTCAATGTCTGGGGCCTTCCCCTGAGTGCCCACTCTGAAGTAGGTGTAGAGACTACAAGGGGGAGGTCTTTCTCTTTAGTGCCACCCCAATCAATGGGACAGCCTCCCCACTGTGGCCCACATGGTACCAGCCTTGTCATTTCTTTGATGCCAGATTAAGACAGCACTATGATCTGGCTTTTAAAGATTTACTTGGCTACTCAGGGACTTGAGGGAGATTACCTATCCCAGATGCTTTTTAAATACATTCTTTTCTGTATGCTTTAGCTGTTTTAATTTTTAAAATGTTTCCTTGAATTCATGATAATTGTCTTGTATCTTATTATCGTCATTGCATGTATTAATACAAATTGTCCAGGGAGCCTCGGTTATACAGCAATACAAAAATGGAATAAATAGTAGTAGTGGCGGTTGTAAATATCCTGTTCCTATTTTCCTCTCATTTTGATCCC